CCTTAACCAAGGCAAACGAATACTTCTGTTCAAAATCGAAAATGATTTTTATTTATCGTTTTATCCTAATTTTAAAAGTTTAGACCTTCCTAAATATACTTAATATAAATAGTAAAATCTAACTACTGGCTTACCTAGCCACATACCGTATTCTTGTTTGCGTGCAGTCACACCATGCACATCTTGTATGACACACACCCCTGTTGTAAGGGTACGTGTAACCCCGTTACACCCTCCCCCATTAAGATTGAGAACATTTACAGTTCCAATTGATTATTGCCTCAACAAGGCCCGCGTGTCCGTTAGACACTGTAACTCCATTTGTTGGAACAGACAACTTCCTTGCTCAATGAGCCCTGTGTCAATGACACCAAAATCTTCAAGTCTCGCCGGTTCTGACGGCGAGCATGGGCAGAGCCCAACTTCATCTCCCGTACTCGGTGCAACGTCGGAAAGTGCGTCCGCAGCACCGAGGTGTGTATATCCCAGGCTCGATGAGCACAAACGTCGCACTCCGCGCACGCTTTCAGTGCCGAGTGGGCTCGCTGAGGATGTGGTCAACTATGAGTCTGACACTCCATTTCCCGCATGGAATGACGAGGAAGACGAGCTTTGCCAGCGGTACGATGAGCCCTGCTCGTGCCTTGCGGACCCCATTTCAGTTTCCTGACTTCTCGACACCTGAGGGACGTGGTGTGATCGCTAATGACCTTGACCGTAACAGAGACGGCAGCTTGAAGCTGCCCATAACGCGGCTCTAAAGCGCCCCCATCCACGGCCGATCATTGAAGTATGGTTTCCGCCCAGCGGATCCCGCTGTGGAAGCAAAGGACGCAGTAACTCGATCATTACGCGTCCACATCATTGGGCCCCCGGCCAGAACGGATGATGAGCTTGCCACACGAAATACTCTTCGAGCTCATTTCTTGGTCCCACAAGAAATTCCGTTGGAAACTTATCGCACTCGTCTGAGTGCACAACGAGGTGGCTCTCGTGTACCCGCAATGCGGACAATACGTGTAGTGCTCGCCCCTGGCAAAAGCGCTACAGATGATGAAGCGCACTTTGAGCAATGGGTGCAACGGCACCGGAACTTTCCTCACTGCATAACCTGCAGTTGAGCCACAAGGAGGTGGACGTGCGTGTGGAGCGACACCTTCGCTTTGAGTTTGCCAAACTCAAGGCACGTCGTCGACTTCCTTCGGATTATCGCCCTTCGACGTACGGTTTAGAATCACTTATTCTCGCACGAGCTCTGTGTCTTCGGCCGCAAGAGCTCAATGCTACTGCTTGAGCCCAGCTCATGGCCCTTCTACTCCCCTGTCTATTGCCGGGAAGCGCGGGACGTCTGATGACACGGGACTTCCTGATCGTTCCGATCAAAAGCGTCCATAGCGACTGGGCAATCCTGCCGAAGTGGCGCCTCAAAACTCCCACGCGTTTCAGAGCCGGATATCCCCGCCACTTCACAAGATATTGGGTCTGACCTGGTGACGACGTCGTCGTACTAGACGTTCCACGTGATAGTGCATTCTCATCGAGAAGACGAGCGGGTCGACCGCCCCTCGGTGACTCGTGATGCTCCTCGAGTCCTTGAGGACGAGGTCCGTCATGATCGGAGCTCTTCTGAGCGTCATACTGAAGTAGCATATCGCTGTGTGGACGCTCTTTCGAATTTGAAGCACCTCGTGCGGCGGCTACCTCGCGTTGAAGACTACCGCGCTTTGTCGGAGCGACTTCTAATCGTGGAGCAGGCGAATGCGTCGCTGCATGCGACGGTGGAGCGCTTGGCGCCATTAGAAATGGAGGCTGTCGCACTCCGTGCTCACAACCAGTTGCTGGTTCAACGTCTGGTGGCCGCGGGCCCGTGGGATACGCTCCGGCGCCAACGATTCCACGTTCACTTGCGCCGGATCCCGGTACGGCTTGATAAGCTCACGTAAAACACCGGGTGGGTGCGCATCCGTTTCGGAAGGGTCAACGTGTACGCCAGGCCCCGTTTGGCCACAACCTTAAACGGTCCGATAAATCGTGGACGAAGCTTCATCCTGAAGATAGGAGAGGCTGCATGTGTAAGTAGTTTTTTTAATCTAATATAACCAGGTCCCCGACCTCAAAGCTTTCCACTTTGCCTCTTCCTTTTTCATCTGCATAT